ATTGATGTAATCATCTACCTATGAGTGTTAATAGTCACACACATGTATGTATTTATAATTAGACATGTAGGTGCAAATTATATCAAGGGTGCTGTTAGTGATTCTGGGCACTAGAAATGGAACATTTTGGGGTGATTGTGAGCCCCCAGGTGCTGAGTGTGATTAAATAATTTTTATTTCATTCAATTATATTCATTGATTGTGTTTGAGTTTTAAATGATGCCATTATTACTGCAATATTACATTAGTATTACAAAAATAGTTTTATATTTTGGATATAAAAATATAGATTAATATTAATGCTATAAATTGCGATTAATAGTTAAATGGATAGAATTAACTAATTCTCCGCCCAAATCTCATATTGAGTACAAAATAGCAATATTGTATTGTACTGTAAATCATGATAAAAACCCTTAACTATTTCGCAACAATTATAAAATGAAATAAAATATTCACATAATTACCAATATATGAAGGCAGCGGTGATAATGATCTAATTTTTCACATAATGTAAAATAAATGTATTAATATGATGTAAGTTTTGTTATTTGCCCACTAAATAGAAACCAACATCGAGTTAAATAACTATTATTACTGTTATCGATAATTTCTAATGATTTATTTTATAATATAAATTCAATGTAAGTTTGGTTTCATTGTCGCAAAACACTTGTGATTCCCTCATGTATTACAATAACTTAAGAATAATTCTTAAGTTACAATAATTATTATTGTAAAATCGATTTAATGTCATTGTGTATCGATTATTGTGTTGATATAATTTTGTATTATACAGTATTACAAAACATTTGTATAAATTACACGATCGCATGATATGTTATATTTTTATTTCAATTAACAAAAGCTCATAAAAGAGATAATTTATAACAAAATTTTTGTTGACCATCAGTTACAACAAAAACAAACCCCCAATGAATCAAATAAAGCGAAACCTACTGTACCTCAAGAATCAGGAGATTCGAGTGATTTGATGGTAAACTTGGATTAGTTTTATGAATTGAGAGATAAATTATTTGATTATTTGTTAAATGATTAAATAGTTAGAAGAAGTGGACTTCGGAGGGTTGTCTTCAGCGAAATACGACTCAAAGCGCCGACAATTAGGAGAAGAGCGGCGCCGAGAATATCAGGAATTTCTGGAACAGGTATTTATATAAGACGTGAAATTATTGACTAAATCTAGTTTTTATAGAAATCGAGATTTGAATCCGAAAATCGAAATAAAAGATCGAAAAGAGTTCTAAAAGTGGAACAGAATTATAAAGAACTGCTAAAACAGAAGCGAATCGAAGAACATAAGCGCAGAGAACTGAATGGAGTCGAAGATATGGACATCGATGGTATAGAAGAGCAAGAATACGGCAAAAATGGTTATACAGTACCAATTGTTGGGCAGTTTTATTGTTCCAATAATAAGTTTAATCCCGATTACATTACACCGAGATCTCGGTTATTGGCCACACATTCCAGTCGTCTAAAAGCACAAAAATATAGCGAAGAACTGAGAAAACAGTGCGAAGAGAAGCAATTGATTAAAGACGAGGAAAGAGAGAGAATAAGAGTAGAAGAAGAAGAGTTGGAACAGAGGTTAGAGATCCAGAGATTGAAACTATTGCGTGAATACGAAGCCGAACACCATATTCTTCGTGAAAAGGCTCGACACTCACCTCATAAGGAAGATGTGATCAAATATAAGGGACATTCCATTCCAATCCCGTCCTCACCCCTGTCTCTGTTAAGAAGCCCTACATATATGCCTTTGAGTGAAGGACAACAATTGGCCGCTTCTCCGGCGACCAACAAATCCAAATCCGTCTCCCGATCTCTGGCCTCAGCTATGAGTCAATCAATGCCATCAAAGCACACGACAGCCCACAAAATCGATATAACAGATCTCAATACAAGCCAAATACAGAATCACAGTTCAGACGCCGATTCCTCTTCCAGTGAAGACGAGATAAATGAAGAGCAAACCAAAGGTATATACCATTTGTAATGTTTTGAAGTGACTTGTATTGAATGCATTCGTTTAATAGAAACGGAATTTCGTAAAAGAATTTTGAGTCAATTGTCAGAAGTGAGACAAATGATGGAAACCGATCACATCTTAATGATGGAAGAACTCAGACAGCAACAAATGGCTGAGTGATCACTACAATGGCATTCAAACATATCATACATTTTATACTCAGTTTACAGTTTTCTTAAGATTTTTATATATTCATCGAAAATATTCTCACAATCCGTTGTATTGACGCATATATTCTCAATAAGTATTTAATTAAATCAATTTTAAGGCTAATAGTTTCGCAAAACAGATCTTCATTTAAATAAATTAATATTTATATACAAAGTGTTTGTTTCGAAAATCAAATATTTTTTATCATTTTTACTTTACTATGAAATGAATTGATTTTGTATTCAATTGGTATTTTGAGAACATTTTAGAGTTCGTGAAACAATGAATGAAATTACAGAATAATTTGATGACAAATACAATTATATGAAAAATCTTTTTAAAAAATTCAATGAATTTAATTAATTAATAATTATTACCTTAAAATCTAAAACCTTAATTGTCTTGATTTGTATGCGATAGTCATTAAACACTGGCATCGCTTTCGTTGGCCAACCTTTGGTCGCCTTTAGAGTCATCGTTCGGGCAGTCGTTTGGTTTAAGTTTCTTGTTTTCTGGTCCATCGGTTACAACCGTTTCCGAGTGATTCACTTCTTCGTTGTCCTCTAACTTGCGTTTAGATGAATGGCTCAAAAACTTGACGATAACAGCAGTCATATTGTCACAGCCGGTGCCGTCTCCGTGAGTGTTGGGCGCCAAACAGGTCCGGAATAACTGTTTCAACAAATTCATTATAATTCATTGCATTCAAAAACTGTGACAATCGCTCACTTCATCGCAAACTTTAGACAATTTGTCCGCTTTTTTGATACGTTGACCAACAAAATCGACCACTTGTTGGGAAGTCATTGAATTCCTATTCAAATGTTAAAATTTATGTTTAAATTATGTCTAAATAGATGTCAATTGTTTTGTTTAATACCAAATGCCGTCGCAGGCAATCACCATAAAGTCATCGCTCGGTTCGAGACCTAATGTCTTGACGTCTGGCAGTGAAGTGATCATCTGTTCCCTATCGGAGACGCTTTTGTTGTTTTTGTAGGAATGGTCTCCAATAGCGCGCGAAAGGTTGAGCCCTCCATTGACGCGCCCGTCTTGAGTCACTTTCCCGCCGGCCTTTTCCACGCGATTTCTTTCCAACTCGTCCTCCGGTTTGTGATCGATAGACATCTCAATCGCGCGTCCGTTTCGTGAGACAACGCAACGAGAATCGCCGGCATTCGCCACAAACAACTCACTCCCTTTGAGAAGCGCCACAACAGCCGTACAGCCGCTGTCGTAACCAGGATTGCCATACGATGGTATCGGTGGCTCCACTCCTTCATCCTCTCCATCCGACTCGTCCTCTGATTCATCCGACGTCTCCTCTTCTTCTTCATCCTCTTCGTCGTCGTCTTCGTCATCAGATGACTCGCCCTTTCCTTTGAAGTCTTCCTCGTCGTCGCTGTCCTCTTCTTCTTCGTCCATATCTTTTAAGAAATATTCATAAATAGGTTTATCGGTCTCTTCACTGCTGTCGGGCTTATCGCTGGGGTCTTCCTTTATGGGAGATATAATCTTCTTGTGTTTACCCTTTCCTTTATATGGCAAAGAAGTGATGGATTCTTCACTACAAATCGCTTCACAATTGTTGTCATTTTCACTAGTCTTGGAAATATCAGAATTATTGTGATTGTCATCACTGGACACACCATCGCCTATAGAACTGGTCGGCTCTTCATCCGAGCCATTGTTTGTCGGCAAATGTTTGCCATTCTTTTCAATGGATTCGTTGTTCGTTTGTTCATTGGATTCGGAATCGATTTTATTAGTACTTTCAGTGCTGTCGGGCTGTGATGTCGAATGAGAGTCAGGTGTGGGAAGTGATGGCACACCAGTCGAAGCACTGGACGAACTGCACTCTTCGGCCAATTCGCCGCTTTCATGGTTTGAATCATAGCTCGCATTCCTCTTCGCTCTAAGAAATGGCGAAATAGGTTTCGATTTACTCGACATCTCATTCTTCATGTGCGAAGGGATGGCAAGTCTTGATTTAGCGCTCGAACTGGAACTGCATTCCGTATCCTCTGTCGGGGGTGTCGTCTGGTTATAGCGCGCCATCAGATCCTCGATGGGAAGGTTCGCCTCTTCGCTCAACAGAATCGCTTCGTTCACCTCATCGTCGCTGTTCTCGTCCTCCATCTCATGACTGCCGCACAATATCTTCAATTCGTGGATCACTTCGGGTCGAGTCAACGTCTTGTCGAACTCGAGGAACGCCTCCTCCAGACAATCGCTAAATCGGTTGCTTTGGTATGATTTCAATGATTTTATGAAAGTCGGCAAATGTTGGGCACAATATTTGGCCACTTCTTCGCCTCCGTGTCCGTCAAACACACCGAACAAAGCGGTGTCGCTGTCGTAGTCCACGATAGCTATGTGGGCGTCCTTTCAGACAATAACACATTAAGTGGTCATCAAATGGTAAGACAAGTGAATGGATTCAATGGATGTGTTATACCTCCTGTCCGGTGCGCCAGCCCTGCATAGACGCCGCGCCGAACACCAGTCCAGACGTGTGGCCGTCCTCTGCCTCTAACGTGGTGTTGGGTTTTGACAGATAAACACCCATTTCTTTGGATCAGATCACGGATGCAAACAATTCAATACAACTCTTGTCTCAAAATTCAATTGCAATTCAATTTCTATTCATTTCATTGTTTACTGAAAGCAAAGCCTTATTTCAAAGCACTTATGCTTTACTCAATTCGTTCAACGCTTTCCACACCACACCTGTCGACGCCATGAATGGCAGCACTCATTGCGCCCTCACTTTGGCGCACACTTTCAACACTGCTTTCGACTCCACTTCCCTTACAATTGTACTAATGATGCCTTTAATGCTGTCCTCACGTGTGCTTTCATTCATGTATTACATGTGTGTGTGTTTAGGAGTGAAAACTATTAGAGTATTACACTTTCGGCCATTCAATCGACAAAATGAGTTCAATTAAGAGTTAAAGGTATAATGAAATGAGTTGTTCAATGGACTAATGATTAGTATTAATGTAATTGTATTAATAGTATGCGTTAATATGTGGACACAATTTAGTGGACACTCGAAAAGGTGTTTGAATTGTGACCGAAACCCATATGTAATGAATTGCATTGAAAGGCATTGATTGTGTTGTTCGCGAGACCACGTGTTTGTCTCACAACCGGCTCTCAATTCCCATTCATAACTTCAGTTCACGTTTTTTGCCCATTAGTTGTCCCAATATATGACTCATTTGTTGGAAACTTAATGCAAACTCAATGCGAAAGCGTGTGGAAGGGCTCACTTGAACCCACATTATATCGTAACGTTATTAGTGATTAAAATATAATATCAAATACAGTAAACATTTGATTTGAAAGTGAATTAAACAAATGATTTGTTGAATAAAAAACATTGCTTTGAATTGTGAGTCAAATTCAAACACAATATGAGTCTAAATATATTGCAATTGAATAACATTTGCCGACAATTACTGCCATTGAATGAGTTTTCACTCAATATATTAGGTATTAATGAATGGATGAATGGATTACAAGCTATTGATTCAATTTGATTGCAATGTTTAACACGTGATTGTGTTTAGGGAAGCGCTTGATATGTAAGAGTCCGGGACAGTCACAGAGAGGCAAGAAGAGGCCCCCGAAGAACATTAAACTCATTGCTATTCCCGGACAGAGAGTCGACGAGAGAGACATATTAGGCAAACAGAAGTCACTCAAATATCACCCCGGTTTCAATGTATGCCAATCTTAACTATGATTTACCATTCATTTCATTGTTTTACTCGTTGTGTATTCACGTAATGATTGGTTTGAATTGTCATTTTAGGTGGCATTGGATCCGAAGAACAAGAACTTGTATGCATTGACTGCGGGGACAGTGTTTTACTCGATTGAAAAGTT